TAGATGGAGGATCATAGGGGGTGAGAGTACGTGGAGAATCATTGCTGAGAAAGAAGGTGGAGGATCATGGCTGAGACAGTAGGTGGAGGATCTTGGCTGAAAGAGTAGGAGGAGGATCATGGCTGAGAGAGTAGGTGGAGGATCGTGGCTGAGAGAGTAGGTGGAGGATCGTGGATGACAGAGTAGGTGGAGGATCATGGCTAAGAGACTAGGTGCTGGATCATGGCTGAGAGAAGTAGTTGGAGAATCATGGCTGAGAGAATAGGTGGAGGATCGTGGCTGAGAGAGTAGGTGGACGATCGTGGCCGAGAGAATAAGTGGAGGATCATGGTTGAGAGAAGTAGTTGGAGAATCAAAGCTGAGAAAGTAGGTGGAGGATCGTGGCTGAGAGACTAGGTGGAGGATCCTTGCTGAGAGAGCAGCTGGAGGATCATGGCTGAGAGAGTAGGTGGAGGATCATGGCTGAAAACGTAGGTGAAGGATAATGGGTGGGAAAGTACGTGGAGGATCGCTGCTGACAGAGTAGTTGGAAGGTCATGGCTGAGAGAGTAGGTGGAGGATTGTGGCTGAAAGAAGTAGTTGGAGAATCGTGGCCGAGAGAGTAGGTGGAGGATCAAGGTTGAGAGACTAGGCGTAGGATCATTATTGAGAGAGTAGGTGGAGGATCAAAGCTGAGAGAGCTGATGGAGGATAGTGGCTGAGAGAGTAGGTGAAGGATCATGGCTGAGTGAGTAGGTGGAGGATCAAAGCTGAGAGAGCTGATGGAGGATAGTGGCTGAGAGATTAGGTGAAGGATCATGGCTGAGTGAGTAGGTGGAGGATCAAGGCTATGAGCGTAGGTGGAGGATCATGGTTGAGAGAGTAGATGGAGGATCATGGGTGTGAGAGTAGGTGGAGGATCATGGTTGAGAGAGTAGATGGAGGATCATGAGTGTGAGAGTAGGTGGAGGATCGTGGCTGAGAGAGTACGTGAAGGATCATGGCTAAGAGAATAGGTGAAGGATCATGGCTGAAAGAGTAGGTGAAGGATCATGGCTGAGTGGGTAGGTGAAGGATCATGGCTGAAGGAGTAGGTGAAGCATCATGGCTAAGGGAGTGCGTGGAGGATCATGGCTGAGAGAGTAGATGAAGGATCGTGGCTGAGAGAGCAGGTGGAGGATCATGGCTGAGAGAGTAGGTGAAGGATCATGGCTGAGAGAGTAGGTGAAGGATCATGGCCAAGAGAGTAGGTGAAGGATCATGGCTGAGAGAGTAGGTGAAGGATCATGGCTGAGAGAGTAGGTGAATGATCGTGGCGGAGAGAGTAGGTGAAGGATCATGGCTGAGAGAGTAGGTGAAGGTTCATGGGTGAGAGAGTAGGAGAAGGATCATGGTTTAGAGAGGAGGTGAAGGATCATGGCTGACTGAGTAGGTGAAGGATCATGGCTGAAAGAGTAGGTGAAGGATCATGACTGAGTGAGTAGGTGACGGATCATGGCTGAGAGAGTAGGTGAAGGATCATGGCTGAGAGAGTAGTTGAAGGATCATGGCTGAGAGAGTATTTGAAGGATCATTGCTGAGAGAGAAGGTGAAGAATAATGGCTGAGTGAGTAGGTGAAGAATCATGGCTGAGACAGTAGGGGAAGGATCATGGCTGAGAGAGTAGGAGAAGGATCATCGCTAAGAGAGTAGGTGAAGGATCATGGCGGAGAGGGTAGGTAAAGGATCATGGCCTGAGAGAGTAGGTGAAGGATCATGGCTGAGAGAGTAGATGAAGGATCATGGCTGAGAGAGTAGGTGAAGGATCATGGCCGACTAAGTGAAGGATCATGGCTGAGAGAGTAGGTGAAGGATCATGACTGAGAGAGTAGGCGAAAGATCATGGCTGAGAGAATAGGTGAAGGATCATGGCTGAGAGAATAAGTGAAGGATCATGGCTGAGTGAGTAGGTGAAGGATCATGGCTTACAGAGCAGATGAAGGATCATGGCTGAGAGAGTAGGTGAAGGATCATGGCTGAGTGAGTAGGTGAAGAATCATGGCTGAGACAGTAGGGGAAGGATCATGGCTGAGAGAGTAGGAGAAGGATCATCGCTGAGAGAGTAGGTGAAGGATCATGGCGGAGAGGGTAGGTAAAGGATCATGGCTGAGAGAGTAGGTGAAGGATCATGGCTGAGAGAGTAGATGAAGGATCATGGCTGAGAGAGTAGGTGAAGGATCATGGCTGAGAGAGTAGGTGAAGGATCATGGCTGAGAGAGTAGGTGAAGGATCATGGCTGAGAGAGTAGGTGAAGGATCATGGCTGAGAGAGTAGGTGAAGGATCATGGCTGAGAGTCAGGTGAAGGATCATGGCTGAGAGAGTAGGTGAAGGATCATGGCTGAGAAAGTAGGTGAAGGATCATGGCTGAGAGAGTAGGTGAAGGATCATGGGTGAGAGAGTAGGTGAAGGATCATGGCTTAGAGAGTAGGTGAAGGATCATGGCTGAGAGAGTAGGTGAAGGATCATGGTTGAGAGAGTAGGTGAAGGATCGTGACTGAGAGAGTAGGTGAAGGATCATGGCTGAGAGTAGGTGAAGGATCGTGTCTGAGAGAGTAGGTGAAGGATCATGGCTGAGAGAGCAGGTGAAGGATCATGGCTGAGAAAGTAGGTGAAGGATCATGGCTGAGAGAGTAGGTGAAGGATC